GTCAGCTAACGTAAACGGCACCATCAGCGGCTTCCTTGTGATGTTATAACGATATATTCTGTGCACATGGCAACCCTTAGGCAGACTCTCCTCTGCTTTATTGTTTTCCTTCGGCCATGTATTGTGAATAGGCCAAAATATTCCCTTTGTTTCCCGCTCAGTCTTCCTTCGTATTTGCCTGAAATCTCACGAAAACACACTGTTCATCTCAAGGCAGGAAAACCAGTGTGGCGATAGGTGTGATCTGTCAATCTTGATTTTAAGAACGTTGTGCATCGTCTAAAAGACAGGTTAGCTTTTATTTTTCAATCAGGATCCAAACCTGTTTTCATTTCAAACTATTGGCTATCTTGTTACTTATTTTTGCTCGACTTTGAATCATCTGTAAAATGTTTTAAACACCAAACATAAATAGCCTAACCGTTTAGGAAGGGCTATTTATAAGAGTAAGGAACTAGCTATGTTCATTTACATTTTTGACTTTCACGGAATACAACTCCCTTCTTCACTTCAGAAAATGTAAGTTATCCTAAATACAGAACGTAAATTCAGAAAAAATTATGTTCTCTAAATAAAGGGCCTGTATTCTGAAAATGTTACTTCCTCAAGATATAAGACTAAACTTTGAAAAGTGTTACCTTTCACACGATAACAGACCCATCTTCATAAAATCTAACTTCTGTACATAGCTTATTACAGAAATAATCATCACTTCTTTGGATATAAGAATTTGCATTAACAAAACCCTTTCCTCTCACTTCCTAATATACAAGATATAACATCAAAGAACAATCATACAACTGAAGGGCATAGAACAGGATTTCCTGGATCAACAGCAAAGGTTTCCATAACTTATCTTTCTTAGATAAAAGACCTCACCAGAAAAAATCTTATCCTTCTTTCCTAAGACACAGGATCAAATTTTTAAAAAAGATTTATACATTTATATGACACAAAAGTCATTCCAGAAAAAAAAAATCATTCCTTCCCTCTGTAGAGATTTTAACTATGTAAATTTTAAATTTACTAAAATAACATGTCATTTAAACAATTTCCTCTTCCACTAGATACAGAACATAGCTTTAGAACATCTCATCTTCAATATGTATATAATATAACTTCATAAAAGTCTTACTTCTACCAAGTATAGCAACTAGCTTCAGAAAACTTACCTACACTAAATACAGGATCTAACATCAGAAAACTTACCTATACTAAATATAAGATCTAACATCAGAAAACTTACCTATACTAAATACAAGATCTAACATCAGAAAACTTACCTCCACTAAATACAAGATCTAACATCAGAAAACATACCTATACTAAATATAAGACTTAACTTAAGAAGGATCTTGCTTACAGTAAATACCAAAACTACCTTCAGAAAACCTTACCCTCAATAGAGTTTGAAGCTAACTCGAAACCCTCACTTCAAAAGCACCTCTTTCAGAAGAAACATTATTTTCGATACAGAACCTAACAACAAAACATATCTTGCATTCCTTTCATATAGGATATTTTCTGTTGTTAGGTTTTTATGAAAGGAAGGTAAGATATTTTCTGTTGTTAGGTTCTATATGAAAGGAATGCAAGATATTTTCTGTTGTTAGGTTCTATATGAAAGGAATGCAAGATATTTTCTGTTGTTAGGTTCTATATGAAAGGAAGGTAAGATATTTTCTGTTGTTAGGTTTTGTATGAAAGGAATGTAAGATATTTTCTGTTGTTAGGTTCTGTATGAAAGGAATGCAAGATATTTTCTGTTGTTAGGTTTTGTATGAAAGGAATGCAAGATATTTTCTGTTGTTAGGTTCTATATGAAAGGAAGGTAAGATATTTTCTGTTGTTAGGTTCTGTATGAAAGGAATGATAGGAATAATACCTTATTTGAAAAGCTGTACCTCCACTAGATATAAGAAATAACCTCAGCAAATCTTACCTCCCTCAATATAGGAGAACTTGAGAAAAATCCTCCTTTTTTTATTAGCATGAAACCTAACTTAAAAAAATATTTATATATTTCCCCCTTCCTTAGATGCAGTATTAAAATTCACCTCCATTAGATGCAGGACCTCATTTCAGAAATATCTCACCTCCAATAGATATAGAATCTAACTTTCAAAAATCTCACTTCCCAATAGTAATAGGACCTTACTTGGAAAATTCTACCTCCATTATATATTGGACATAAACACAGAAAAAATATTACCTTTACAAGCATAAGTATTTACTTCATATATTCCTGTCTTCACTGGATACAGAACCAAAGTTCATACAAGTATCTTTCATTACATATAGAACCGCATCCCCTATCCCCTCTTACACCTTAGATACAGGATATAACTTCAGAAATTCTTACCTCTGATAGATATAGCACTTCACTTAAGAAAAATATTACATCTCCTAAATACAGGACGTACATTCTGAAAATCTGATATTATTGCATACAGTGTCTTGCAATAGTATTCACCTTCCTGCAAGGTTTCCACATTTTGTTGCTGTCTGAGCTCGCAACTATGAAACTTTCAAATGGGGCTTTATATTTAGAAACTACACAATCTACTTGAAACTGAGTAAGGTAAAACAACGCCGATATTATGTAAGTGAGTTAGATTTTTAAAGAAAATTAGAATATTCTCAATTGTATAAGTTTTCAACCCCTTTGCTACGACAACCCTACATCAATTCAAGTGCAAAAGATTAGTTTGAAAGGTCACAGAATTAGTGTAACGGTCTCTGTTTATGTGTAATTAAAGTGGTTTAACTTGATTTTAGAGTAAATGCATTTGTTCAAGCCACAACTCACATAGTGATACGATAAACCAAGTAACTTTCCAAACAAGTCAGGGATAAAGTGGTAGAGAAGCACAGATAAGGATAATGTTACAAGAAAATTTAAAAATCGCTGATTATCCCTTTGAGTACGGTGAAGTCCACCATTAAGAAGCGGAATATGCTTCATACGACCCAGTCACTACCCAGATCAGGCCGCCCTTCCAAACTAAACAGTGGGACAAGCAGGAACTGGTTAGGGATGTAACTGTAAAGCCAACAGTGACTCTGAAAGACCTACAAAGTTCCATGCCTGAGACGACAGTCAGTGATCATACTTCGACATTATCTCGGTCCCTACACAAAGCTGGTCTGTATGGGAGAGAGGCAAGAAAGAAGCCATTACTGAAAACGAATCATCTTAAATCTCGTATGGAGTTTGCGACAAAGCATTTAAATGATATTGCAGACATGCGGTAGATGTTTTGTGGTTAGACAAGACAAAAATTGAGCTTTTTGGTCTAACTTCAAAGCGTTACATCTGGCGCAAGCGCAACACAGCACATCACCCATTTAACACCATCCCAACCGTCAAGCATGGTGGTGGTAGCATCATGTTATGGGGACGCTTTTCATCAGCAAGGACTGGGAAGCTTGTCAGGATTGAAGAGAAGTTAGATGGTGTAAAGTACAGGCGATCCTAGAGGAAAATCTGCTTGAGTCAGCCAAGAATCTAAAACTGTGTCGAAAATTCACATTTCTTCAGGACAATAACCAGAAGCACAAAGCCAAATCTACACTGGAGTGGTTTCAAAAGAAGAAAGTGAATGTCCTGGAGTGGCCCAGTCAGAGTCCTGACTTGAATCCAATAGAAAATTTATAGCAAGACTTGTAGATTGCAGTCCATCAAATCCCCTACGAACTTGTCAGAATAGGATTAATTTTGCCAGGAAAAATGGGCAAAAATTACACCACCCAATTGTGCAAAGCTGGTAGAGACCTATCCAAAAAGACTCATAGCAGTGACTACTACCAAAGGTGCTTCTACCAAGTATTGATTTAGGGGGGCTGAATACTTATGCAATCAGCGAAGTTCAATTTATATATTTTCTTTACAGGTTTTGCTGACATTCAACCTTCTTCACACATAACAGTGATAAGTTCGATCATTAGTGTTTTGAATGAAAGCAAGTTCATTAAAAGAACTCTTTAACTTATTTGTATTTCATCAAAATGTGACATTAATGGTAGGGGTGAATACTTTTGCAAGGCACTGTACGGAAGTTAATTTCAAAACTCTTCAAGGTATATTATTTCTTTACTGAATAAAGACCTCATTTCAGAAAAAAAAATAATCCTACATTTTGCAAAAGCCCTCTTTTAGAATCACGACGTAACTTCAGTAAATTTTACTTTGACTTAAGGTAAGAAAATCTTAAATACATCAAATATAATGTTTTACTTGCGAAAATCTTACCTCAGCCAAAACTAGAATCTCATTTCATAAATTGTTGCCGCCACTGAACGTAAAATATTAATTCTGTTTTTTCCACATATATACTCTTGTATAATGTTTATACTTTCTCAAAATCTGGCGTAGTTCTTAAAACACTATCCATTGTACAGTTCTTTTTTTTGGGGGGGGGGGGCTTTTCTTGCGTGTGTATTTATTTTTGCATTACAGTGTTTTAATAATATCGCTCGTATCTCTACAACTAATACTGTTTTGAAGAAAAAATATTTTATTACATGTGTATTTGCCTTTGTTCTTCGTGAACATTGTATTTCTTAAATCAAGGTTCAGTAATGGAATTAAACTATTTACACTATCAACAGCTATTCTATTGCCACCTCTCTCGCTTGTATATTATTGTTATAACCGGGAAAGTGGTTCAGCAGTTTTTTATTTTTTTGTTCTATTTTCATAGGCTGTGACAAACATTAGACAAGTGTGACCTTTAACTGAGAATAATGTAGTTTGCACAATTCAAGTCTTGTAGTCCTACTTCTCCGCTCTTTAATTTATATTATGTCCTATACTAATATGTACCACCATAATTTATATATGTATACATTGCTTTTGAAATAGTAAATTATATGTATTCATATCTACATATACACATGTACATGTATATAGATACAGCAGACAGCTTGGGAACTCTCGCCCACGTGTTTCGGCATAATTATTCCAATGTCAATGGTGTAGTTCCATGTGCACGTGCTGCTCTCAGAGTCGTAGATGTAACTGTAACTTCTTAGGGTAAAATATGGATCATTATTCTTGTGACTGATAATCAAATGCATCTCAGGGAAATTGAGCACGGCTTTCTTGCCGGATGAAATGATCCAAGTTAATTGGAAAATCAGCCTGAGGTGCAAAACTTTGATAGGCCAAAATTGTGTAGTGTATTAACTTAGGCAGAGGGCGTCTCGAGAAAACGAACTTCCTAAATATAACAGGACCTCCGGTAAGTCTCTTTCTCGTTAGAATATTACTAATACAAAATGGGTTAAAGGTCATTTTAACTAAGCTGGGATGAACGGCAGCGATTACTGCTGTATAGGTAGTAAACTGACTTCCGGTTTAAATGAAACAAAAAAAATGCGAATTTTAGTTTTAAGACAGTTTTATGTCTATAAAAGTACTTTACGGGAATCGAAGTACTGGTAGATAAGAACAAATCGCAAAACGTGTGTCAGGTGAACTTTTGACTTTATATTAAATACATCATAATTGGATATAATTTGATTGTCGCATTTTTGTATATATGATAACTCCTTATGTGAGCTTTCATTTATTGAATAATGTCAGTAAAGGCAAAGCATGTTTTAGATTTATAAATAATATCCAACTCGAGAACTGAAGTTGTGATATTATTCAAACTTCCCATAATGATGTTTGCATTCTTGAATAATTTGTCCAAACTCATTGTACAATAACAAACAACCAGTGTTGATTCTGTTGTTACATGACTTGCTCAGTCTCGTTTGTTTATGTTTTGAGTTTATCTGTTTTATTTTTGAAGAAGGCATTTAAACCAATGCAACTGTATTTGTTTGATCTGGTACAAGCGGTAAGTAAATTTTCTGTACAGATGTTTTATGTTTCTTGTTTGTCACAGAGAAAATAAATCCCATTAATTTTAACTTAATGCTTAATAACAACTTTACCTTGTTTAAAATCAGAGTTGTTAAAAAAGGTATCCATTCTATCGCACATGGTATCAAGCCAATTCGTGAATTTGTTACACATTTTTGATCTTCTGTTAATTGATCAGCTCCAGATGTTTTGTTATTATACAGTTTTTAAGTATGTTCTTACATTTACTAACCAGCTACACCTGTTATATCATAATGCAAAAGTTGAGTATGTTGCTACATTTACTAATCAACTACAGCTGTTATGTTATGATACAAAAGTTGAGTATGTTGCTACATTTATAATCAGCCACAGACATTATATCATAATGCAAAAGTTGAGTATGTTGTTACATTTACTAATCAACTACAGCTGTTATGTTATGATACAGAAGTTGGGTGTATTGTTACATTTACTAATCAGCTATAGATGTTATATCATATTACAAAAGTTAAATGTGTTGTTACATTTATTAATCAGCTATAGATGTTATATAATACTGCAAAAGTTGAGTATGTTGTTACATTTACTAATCAGCTACAGCTGTTATATTATGATACAAAAGTTGAGTATGTTGTTACATTTACTTAATAATCAGCTACAGCTGTTATATTATATACAAAGTTGAATATGTTGTTACATTTACTAATCAGCTACAGCTGTTATATTATGATACAAAAGTTGAATATGTTGTTACATTTACTAAATCAGCTACAGCTGTTATATAATACTGCAAAAGTTGAGTATGTTGTTACATTTACTAATCAGCTACAGCTGTTATATTATGATACAAAAGTTGAGTATGTTGTTACATTTACTAATCAGCTACAGCTGTTATATTATGATACAAAAGTTGAGTATATTGTAACATTTACTAATCAGCTACAGATGTTATATCATACTACAAAAGTTGAGTATATTGTAACATTTACTGATCAGCTACAGATGTTATATCATACTACAAAAGTTGAGTATATTGTAACATTTACTGATCAGCTACAGATGTTATATCATACTACAAAAGTTGAGTATATTGTAACATTTACTAATCAGCCACAGATGTTATATCATACTACAAAAGTTGAGTATATTGTAACATTTACTAATCAGCCACAGATGTTATATCATACTACAAACGTTGAGTATATTGTAACATTTACTAATCAGCCACAGATGTTATATCATACTACAAAAGTTGAGTATGTTGTTACGTTATTTTATCAGTTTCAGTTGTTATCTGACACTATTGTACAAATGTTGAGGATAACGCAATGTAAAATTATCAGCTATAGACGTTTTCTGATGTAATTGTACAAATGTTGAGTATTCTTGTTAGGTTATTTCATCAGATACAGATGTAATTTAGTGTCATTGAACATATGTTGAGTTGAATACGTTGACTGATCGGTCACAGATGGTATCTTTCAGCATTTTCGATCAAGGTCTTAGTTTTGAATTAACATGCACAACTAAACGGCTGTAGAAGGTCGATGTGAAGAAAACGTGTATTTGTAGTTCTTAATTAATAATGATTACATACGACTCACGACTCTTAAAGAAAGGTGACTTTACTACTTCATATCAATATTCTTTCGGCCCCTTCTGTATACTTCTCCGACAGGAAGGGGCCTCTTGCTATTTGTGTATTTTATAAAACATTATTTACTCACATGCTTACTTCTGTCGGCAGAGTCAGTGTCAGAGCCTCAGTTCCTATACTTAGTTACTTCATGAAGTGGTCAGTTCTGTATGTTTAAGTACTATACTTCATATTAGGATAGAGCCAAAAGACAGATAGGTTAAATATGATATGCAAGAAGACCCATCTCCTGACCAGGTGGTCTCATAACAAGACAGTTCAACAGAAGAAGAAGGTGGAAAGGAAAGAAAAGAATAAATAAGGGTCAATCCTATAAATCTGGCAAACAAGAAATGACATGGATAAGTTTACTGGAAAATATCTTATCTTGATGGTTCGATATTCCTTTGTGGAATTTTTATATAATAAAGTCCTGTCTTAAATTTGTGTATCCTCAAACAAGTCTTATATAGAAGTTCATAACATGTTGCAAATTATTTGATTAATTATATTCGTGTTTGAAGTGTGTGTGGTAGAATTTTTTACATTTCTGTTTATTTATATTTTCAAAGTTATATACTCTTTGTCTACTCATATTTGAAGAGACTGTTAAATTTTATTTTCCTTTTTTAGTTGTGGACGAAATGCTTTTAGAAGTGCATTGTAGTAAAATAGCTCACATTTTTTAAAATCCCTCACTAGAAGTAGATGGATCAACTGTTGAATATCTTTGGAACTTAAGAGATGAAGATGGAATATCTAAGATAAGCAATAATGATTTTTTATTAAAGCAAAATTTCATATTTGAACATCCTTAGAACATGATAGATCAAGTTTCTAAACTAAACAATCGTGAATTTTCTCTCTAAAACAGAATGTTGGTATTATGAAGATCCTTAGAATTTAATAAGTCAAGATCGAAGGTCAAAAGCACAGATTAATGAAAATTTTAATTGAAGCGAAAGGATTCTTAGAGACTGATAGATCAAGATCAAATTTCAAAAATATGCAGTGATAAAGTTTTCCGTTAAAACAGAAAGTCCGGGTTTTGAAAACTCGTGGAACTTAATAGGTCAATGTTAGCACTAATTAAGTTTATCATTTGAATATCTTCAGTGAGATGAAACAAGGTCATAAACAATGTTCCCTCTAATTTCTCCAATCAATGTGCGGAATGAATTTTTCATGTGCACCAGTATCAAGGCAATGTGCGGATGTGCGCTATCAGTTTTTTTTTTTTGTTGTTGTTGTTGTTCTTTTTAGGGGCTGGGTTTTAGGCCATCGGCCCTATTGGATCATTAGGCGTTGCAATGCTACTAGTTGGTTATTTGGGTTTTAGGCCTATCGACTGCCAGGGTCATTAAGGCCGTCAACGTGTTGAGACTCTTCATCATTACTGAGGATGTGCGCGGCTGGAATAATATAGTGCGCGGCACTTGACTGTTTGTTGTTCAGCCGCGCAGCTTAGAGGAAACACTGGTCAGACTCGTAGAGATCATGTTCAAACGTGAAAGCCATTGAAAAGATAAATTACCAATTGGATTTATGCCTTACGTTTTTTGCATTATGTAGAATTTAGCACACTTTACTTGGTTATCAACTTTAATTTTAATTAATTAATGACTTTTTGAAATATAGAGATTCGCTTAGCTGTTATTTAACCAAATGATCTGCTATGCCTAAGCTCCCCAGTGGTACAGCTGTATGTCTGCGGACTTACAACGCTAGCATCCGGGTTTCGATACCCGTGGTGGGCAGAGCACAGATAGCCCATTGTGTAGCTTCGTGCTTAATTACAAACAAACAAACAAGCTACGCCTAAAATTTTGTTCAAGAGGTTAGCTCTGTGTTTTAATGGTTTCAACAATTATTTTAGTATTACCTATAGTATATTAGGTTTATATATATTTAATATAATATACTTACTAAAGCTGTTGTGTAAATTTGCAAGTTAATCTAAATTAATTGAATAGTTTAGAATCAGTAGGGCTTCTCACAATTTTTCATTGAAAATATATATATGTTTGTTTTAGCCCTATATGATATATGAAGAGTTTTGGAGTTTCAAATAAAGCTGTTAAACAGGAATATAATCAAATTGGCCCAACTCCCAGTAAGTTTAGCGCTGATGCGGGAGGCGAAAGTGTGTATTTTCTTTGAAGCTTCGTATCTCTAATTATTGTATGCAAAAGTTAACTCAATGGGTAATTCTCTAAAGTTCGATTTTTTATTATAGTTTTGATTGAAATAATAAAAAAAAATTCTCCTATTCAAAAACTAGGTTTAAAAGAAGTAACTGTTTCCCCCTTTATCAGAAAATAAAGGTTTAAGTGAGGTTTGAGAAATCAAATAGATAATTATTAATAAGAACTACTGAGTGAAAGTAAACAAGAATCTATAACAAATATCAACAACACTGTATCTGCTATATCCAGTGCAGACGAGGACTTTCGCCCAATACCAGCGCTCTTCAGGACGGCTGGATTGAAACAGACATTGTAGTGGTTGAGTCATTATTACTTTGCGAAGAGTAATGTTCTATCAATCTTCTATTACTCCATTCAACGCCAAAATTAGTTATTTCAACTTCCGTCGCTGATAAAAGAACCAAAATTCAAGTTGTCGAATGACAAGAAAATTGCCAAATATAATACCACTTCAGATTTACTAAGCAACAATTAACGCAGGTAAAAAACCCACAACTTTACACTCTTAGACTTTTATAACACCGTCAGGGATCATTGTAATGC